ATATGTCCCAAACACTTAAACGATAATGCCATCACTTAGGAGACAAGTGAAAAAGATATTGGCATTTATAAGAGATTGATGAAAATTAGTTCTAAAGCATTAATTTCTCTTAATACCACTAAAAGAATTGTGTGCATTCAGGAGATATTTGATCTGAATTAAGAAACTGATGAAGCAATTGATTAATTGGAATTTAAGCCATCAGTCACCAGATCCATCAACAGCTTCATGTACATTCTAAACAATCAACTGACGGCCCAACAGAATACCCTGTATTAATACACCGTCAATATGATGCCACGAAGAGACTCACTGAGCTGTACTGACAAACGCCCAGTGGCTATTGTCCAAACTCAACACGCTGGGTAGATTTAAGACTTTCATACTGGCTAGGGTTTAGAGATTCTTACTATAACAGGCAATGTATTACCTGGGTTTTCTGAACTGAAACTGAAAAATAATAAAGTAATATTAACAGTGTTAGCAGATACACAAAAAATTCTAAACATGTATGTTTAAAAACAAGGCTTTAATTTAAAATCTTAAATAATTATGTAAAGTCACACAAACAGAATTTCTAAAGCTAAGAATCCTTGATTGAAAGCAGTGTTATGACACATTTTATACAGCTGGGAAGCTGTCTGCTCCATTTTATAAAGAGAAGAAAAATATCATGAAACAGTAATCTGACATTTTAGTATCTCCGTAAGAGTAACAGTAATTGTTTTAACAATTTAAATTTGACAGAAAAAAATCATAAAACTGAGGAATATAATAGAACCACAGGTTAAAACAGATGACAGTAAGGTCCTAAACTTGGAGCCATTAATAACCTTCCAGGAATATATTAAATAATTAAAATTTAGCATACATGTATATTATGTACATTTTTCTGAGGAACAAAGTGATAATTCTTAAGATTCTCAGAAACACCCATGACCTCCAAAATATTAAATATCATTACCCTACAGAGAGAAACTGTCCCTACAACACAGAATACAGAGCAAAATTTGAGGAAAAAAAACATTTTTAAAACATAATCAATTTGGATATAACGTTATTTATCTGTAGTTGGCACCTCAGAGAGTATCTCACTTGCCTAATGCTCTAATATTCTCTTCATGTTTTGCTATCTTATTACGCCATAACAATGATACGGTGGCTGAAGAACAATTTCTAAAGCTTCAGCAAACATTTACTAGCCCTCAGATTCTTCCTCTGAAAAATGGACATTTCTAACAATCTTCCAGCTTTAAAGAGATGGATTTTGTTCACATTTTATCTCCTAACATAATTTGTATACTCTATTTCTTCTAAGTTAATTACCTAAAGCCATTTCCACATTGAGCATAATATTCTTAATCTTACATATACTCTTACTATGATCACTACAAGGGGAATTAAATATAAAAGCATCTCCCGGGATTTCCCTGGCAGTCCGGTGGTTAAGAATCGGTGCTTCCGGGCTTCCCTGGTGGCGCAGTGGTTGAGAGTCCACCTGCTGATGCAGGGGACACGGGTTCGTGCCCCGGTCCGGGAAGATCCCACATGCCGCGGAGCGGCTGGGCCCGTGAGCCATGGCCACTGAGCCTGCGCGTCCAGAGCCTGTGCTCCGCAATGGGAGAGGCCACAACAGTGAGAGGGCCGCGTACCGCAAAAAAAAAAAAAAAAAAAAATATCCGTGCTTCCGGTGTAGGGCGCACGGGTTCAATCCCTGGTTGGGGAACTAAGATTCCGCATGCCGAGTGGTGCAGCCAAAAAAGAAAAAAAAAGTATCTCCCAAATGCAAACTTTTTGTTATTCATTTTACTGAATACATTTACAAACAAAGACAAAGAAATCATAAATAAGTAGGGATGGCAGTGTAAAAATCTCTGAAAACCCATTCCTCCGTAACTGTAATGAAAACATAAGCAAAAAGTGTCTAAAGCAACTTTTTCAAAACTCTGGAAAATAATCAAAGACTTGCAACAATCCCAGGTGCATTTATTCAAGAAACACGGCTAAATCTAGCTATGAGTGAGATGTGTGGTGTTCTGACTTGTCCCTTTTCCAGCACCCTGCCCCCAGTCAAACTCCACAGTAGCTGAGAAAACCAACGGTCTGGTAGCCACTGAGGGGAAGAAACCAGGGCTAGGACTCCCCAAACCCCATGCCCAGACAACTGCAACCACCTGACCAGGTAGAGCTTGTCTGGATTTGACTCAACCCACAGTTCATTCACTGAGAATGTGTTTTCCCTGGAATGTTTGTCAAAAACAAACATTGGCCATTGTTTAATGTCACAGCTACCTTGGGTGGTGGTTAAAGCTGGGGTAAACAAGCTGATCAAAAAATTGAAAAGAAAAGCTGAAAAATCAGATAACAAGGAGCAAAAGCTCTATCATATTCCCGAGAGCCTAGAAGGCCACCTGCCAGTGCAGGGCTGCACACAATGCCCTTGAAAACCTGAGAGGCCCGAATCTCTCACACCTGGCTGACTCTGAGGCTCTGTACAAGCAAGAAGTGAAGGCAAAGGCAGAGTTTTAACTGCCTGACACAGCTCTGCAGGTGTTAAGGGAACACTAGCTATTTGTAAAAGATAAACCTTGCAACTCTGGTACTTAATAATACTTCTCTGTCATATAGAGACCACTTGGTGACAGAATAGGAGGGGAGTCTGTTCCACACAGACATTAAGGAACCTAAACTGAGGGAAGCTCTGCCATCTTCAACAGGCAGCTTCCAAGGGTTACCCTGGTCACGGACACATAGCCAGTACAGGGAAAGCCGAGGCTGGAAGTGGTACACATGACTTTCAGCCACCCTCCTTTGGCCATACCTCAGGGCATGGCCCCATCTAACTGGACAGGAAAGGGAAATGGACTGGAAAAGTAGTTCTCCAGTCTCCACCCTATGGGAAAAACAAAACCACACATTAAATAGCACACAATAAAGTAAAGGTATCAAGTGTACAGAGGCCACTTGATTATTAGGTGTAACTGAATTCTTCTGCTAATGGCAGCCTCATCTTACGATGTAAGTAATCATAACTACAGTTGGTGAAAAGAGAAAACATTTTTCTTCTCTCTCATGACTTAAAATGTCCTTTTAAAAAAACGTTGTTTAGGGACTTTGCTGGTGGTCCAGTGGTTAAGACTCCTCGCTCCCAACACAGGGGGCCCGGGTTCGACCCCTGGTCAGGGAACTAGATCCTGCATGCCACAACTAAGACCTCGCACATGGCAATGAAGATCCCGCATGCCGCAAATAAGACCCAGCACAAATAAATAAATTTTTAAAAAAATACAAAACAACAAAAAACTCGCTGTTTATAAATAGAGAAAAAACGAAATCAACAACTCTAAATTTTAACCATGTCCTTTCTAGAGTTTTCATGCTACAAATAATAATACATATGCTGAGCTTCCCATAAAAATATTGCTCATCAGGGCTTCCCTGGTGGCGCAGTGGTTGAGAGTCCGCCTGCCGATGCAGGGGATACGGGTTCGTGCCCTGGTCTGGGAGGATCCCACATGCCGTGGAGCGGCTGGGCCCGTGAGCCATGGCCGTTGAGCCTGCTCGTCCGGAGCCTGTGCTCCACAATGGGAGAGGCCACAACAGTGAGAGGCCCACATACCGCAAAAAAATAAAAATAAAAAAAATAAAGACTTGTGTCAGACATTGGGAGGCAGTGGATGCATGACTGAAGGATAGAAGCAAAATTACCAAACCTAGTGATTAGAGTGTATAATGCATGCTCGCCTTGAAAAAAAAAAAAAAAAAAAAAATATTGCTCATTTATGCAACAAAGTTAGAAATACAAGGCAGAAGGAACTTTGGATATTACTTGACAAACCTCTCATCATTTTAGAGATGATGAAAATGTATGACCACGTGGCTAGGTCATATAATTAGAAATTGGTCAAAGCAGGCTAGATTTTAGGTTTCCTGATTTCCAACAAATGGATTTTTTCTCCTTGACCACATGAGGCTTCCTTCTCATTACCCCTTTTGCACCTTCTTATTGTTTAAAGCTCTGGTCATATAAGTATCATTTTTTCTGTGAAGCCCATTTCAACTCACCTAGGCAAATTGTCTGTTCCCTCCCATTACCCCCACATGTCTTTTATTTATTTATTTGTTTGTTTATTTATTTTTGGCGGCATTGGGTCTTCCTTGCTGCACACGGGCTTTCTCTAGTTGTGGCAAGCGGGGGTTACTCTTCGTTGTGGTGCGTGGGCTTCTCCTTGTGGTGGCTTCTCTTGTTGCAAAGCACGGGCTCTAGGCGCACGGGCTTCAGCAGTTGTGGCATGTGGGCTCAGTAGTTGTGGCGTGCGGGCTCAGTAGTTGTGGCTTGCGGGCTCAGTAGTTGTGGCTCGTGGGCTCTAGAGCACAGGCTCAGTAGTTGTGGCGCACAGGCTCAGTTGCTCTGCGGCATGTGGGCTCTTCCCACACCAGGGCTCGAACCTGTGTCCCCTGCATTGGCAGGAGGATCCTTAACCACTACACCACCAGCAAAGCCCTCCACATGCCTTTTAATATTTATACTATCTATACAATCAGAGTATTGCTAATCGTCAATGTGTGTACTTCCATAAATAAGTAGATCATGAACTCTTTGAAGAGAACAACTCGGTTTTACTCCCTTTTGTATTCTAAGCAACAGGTAGTGCCTGGCACATAGTAAGTGCTAAATAAATGTTTGCTGAATGAGAAATAAAAGTGCAAATGCAGAATAGCAATCAAGTTTTGAGGAACATCACCATCTATTTAGATATCAAAATGGATTTGAATGAAAACTTTCACTTGATATAGGAAAGGATATTTTTTTAAACCAACATATTACACAGTAAAATCATTGTTTTAAACATAAACAGTTAAATGTGAATTAGAAATTAATGAATTCAATATATTATCATTCAAAGAAAAATTCTTACAAGAATAAATTTAACTTTTATCTTTCAAAATGAAAATTAAACTGCCAAAAAACCAATCATCAGCAATAAAAATAAAAATACCTGCTTTTTCTGATGTCCTAAGAAATACCATGTCCGATGGAATTCTTTGATCCTGCAGAGTAATATAAAATATTAATTATCTATATGCAAGTTTACAAATTAACACAATTCCATTCCAAAGGAGAAATAGCTCCTAAAAACAACTAAAATAATGTTATATTTCAACTCTATGCTGAAACAATTAACATTCAGAATTTGTATAATAGAAATGAATATTTTAACTCATATTTCCGTTAGACCTCCAAGTTTGTCCCACATCAATGAACCGTGTGAATGGCATTTAGTGATGGCCTGAAACCTACTTCATTTCCTGGAAAATGTTAAATATTTACCATTTCTGTGGCCTCTGCTGTACCTCAACTCACACGTACAGTATAATAGTTACTGCCTTGTAAACAAATGATGGCCTCCCAATCAGACTAAATGACCTAGAAAGTGAGGACAGTGTTCTTCCAACACCTAACACAAAAGAGAGCATATCAAAAACGAAACACTTAATAAATGTTGAATGAAAGAATAAATGTACAACTGAGCAAACAAAACCCCACAAATTTGAGGAGATATTCTTTTTACAAGGCAGGAAAGGAGAAAAACTCAAAGGTCACTATTCATACATTTATTTAATCACTATTACTAATATTAGTATTAATTAGTATTACTAATAATAATTAGTAATACTAATTAGCATTAATCAATTAGTTGGGAAAGCTGTACAAACTAAAAGAAAAATATAATTATAATAAGAATACTTCACATAGTTTCATGAATTATTTATATTCCTTAAGACCTAAGTTAAGATTTATCTACACACAGTAAAGAAATGAACTACTTGTCAGTCAGCAAGCAACAAAAACAAACGTAAATTGTTAAAGCTGAAAGAAGATATGCTGTAGAACAGAGCTACTTATTTCTAACATTTCTTTAGGCAACTGTTAAGATCTAAAGAACCTTTAGGTGAAGGGGGAAATCACAATGGAAACTAGAAAATATTGTTCATGAAATGGTAATAAAAACGCAACATATCAACGTATCATGTGTGGAACACAACCGAAGTCAGGAAAATGATAAGAGGAAAATACACATGATTAAACTGCATACAACAGAAAAGGGAGGCTAAAAACATACAAAGGACTAAGTATCCATTTGAAAGCAGGAAAAAAAACCCAGCCAATAAATCCCGAAGAAAGTACAAGGATGTAAACAAATATAAGCAAAATTAATGACACAGAAAACAAAAACATGCATACCAGTAACAAAGAGCAAGAAGGTAAATATTTCTTTAAATATGCCCATTTCGGTAATAAGAAAAAACTAGCACTAGAATAAAACGGATAAAAGATGGGCAAGCCTCCTAAACAAAAAACTGTAAAACATTACTGAAAGAAATGAAATGAAGCCTAAGGAAATAGAAAACACCATGTTCTAAAATTAGAAAACACAGTATTGCAAAGATGTGAAGTGTGCATATACTGACCTATACATTCAACACAAACCCAATCAAAACCTTAACATGTTTTTTGGTGGGAAATGACAAGATATTCCTAATATTTACAGGGAAATGCAAAGGCCAAGAATGACTAGACAAGTGTGAGAAACAACATGGAGAGCTGCCTGTACAATATAACAAAACTAAATATTAAAATAGAATAATTAAGACAAGATGGTATTCCACTAAGATGGATGATTATATTAATGTAAAAGCAGAGAATCCAGAAGTCAGCCCACACATCCATGGACACCAGATTTATGAGAAAGCCGGCACTGCAGACATCTTTTCAATAAACAGTGCTGAGAAAACTAGATACCCATGGGTGATGAGAAGAGATAATACCTGGCCTCTACTTCAATCGAAACACGAAAATCTATTCCAAACGAATTATACTTCTAAATGTCAAAGTCAGGGACTTCCCTGGTGGCACAGTGGTTAAGAATCCGCCTGCCAATGCAGGGGACACAGGTTTGATCACTGGTCTGGGAAGATCCCACATGCCGTGGAGCAACTAAGCCCATGCGCCACAACTACGGAACCTGCGCTCTAGAGCCTGCGAGCCACAACTACTGAGCCCATATGCCACAACTACTGAAGCCTGGGCGCCTAGAGCCCGTGCTCCGCAACAAGAGAAGCCACCGCAGTGAGAAGTCCGCACACCGTGATGAAGAGTAGCCCCCACTCACCGCAACAAAGACCCAACGCAGCCAAAAATAAATAAATAAATAAAATTTTTTAAAATGTCAAAGTCAAAACAATAAAACCTAAAAGATAATGCAGAAGAATATTTTCATGACTTTTTGGTAGGAAGAGATTTCTTAAACAAGACTCCTTCCCCCTACCACCACAAATTTTAAAAAAAAACTTATTACAGATGAAAAGATTAATAAGGTTGACTTCATTAGAATTTTTCTTTGAATGATAATATATTGAATTCATTAAGCATCTCTGTTCCACAAAGCACACTAGGAAGGAAAAGATATTCACAACATAAAACTAATAAAGGACTCCCATCCAGAATACTTGAAGGCCTGCAAACTGTTAAGAAAGGATAACTCTGAAGAAAAACAGCAAGAGATCCTCACAGGCTTTTCCCAAATGAGAAAGATATCCAAAATCATATGAAAAGGTGTCCAACTTTGTTAGTCTTTACAGAAATGCACATTAAAACCACAACCACTATGTACAATTTGGAAATGGTAAATTTAAAAGGTTGGCAATGCCAAGTGTTGGCAAACATGAAGGAATGGGAACTCTTACTCACTGTTGACCTGAGTATAATTTGATACATCACTTTGCAAAATCATCTGCAGTAAGTACTCAAGTGCAACATACACACTCACCCCAAAATCCAACAAGTCCACTCCTCAGTACACACGCAGCAGCAATGTGTGCACATGTGAGCCAAAAGACATGGTCAAGTATGACTCAGAGGTATCAATCCTAACAGGCAAAACTTAGAAGCAACCCAAATATCCACCAACAGTAGAATGGATACAAGGCATGCTATGTAACCACAAAATGAATGAATTACCGCTGCACACAACAAAATGAAGACTCTCATAATCAGTACTGGGTCAAAAATAAGCACCCACCCAAACACAGCGCCATCCCACTGAATTTTCTAGGCACCCTTGTTGAAAATCTGTTAACCAGAAATTTAAGGCTTTATTTCTGGACTCTGAATGTTTAATTTATGCCAATTCCATACTGTCCTGATTAATGTTAACTTTGTAGAAAGTTCTGAAATGGAGAAGTGTGAATACGCCAATTTTGTTCACATTTTTAAAAACTGCTTTGGCTATTCTGAATCTCTTGTATTTCCATATGAATTTTAGAATCAGCTTGTCAATTTCTGCAGAGAAGACAGCTGGGATGTTAAGAGGGACAGCACTGAACCTGCAGATCCGTTTGGGAGTGCTGCCATTTTAATATATGAATGCTTCCAATCCATGAACATGGGACGTCGTTCTGTTTATCCAGGTCTTCTTTACTCTGTTTTAACAATGTTTTGTAGTTTTCAAAGTACAAGTTTTGTTCTTTTGTTAAGTTTATTCTTAACCATGATTTTATTTATAAGTATTTTATTCCTTTGATACTATCATACATGGAATTTTTATCTTAATTTTAGACCATTACCCTTTACTCCCTTATCCTGTTTTATTTTCTATGAGGCATTAATAAATAAACTAGAAACCTCAAAATAATTATTGGATACTTTTTATTTTTCCCTCCTCTCAAGACTCTGAGCAATATAGGAGCAGGGACCTGTGTTTTCTTAATATGAAATTACCATGGTATACTGTACAGCAGTTTCTTCGACCATGACCCGTTCAGGATATCTGATTTTTGGCTATCATGAATAATGCAGGTATAAACATTCATGTTCAAGCTTTTGTGCCAATCTAAATTAATATTTACCTGGGATAAAGGTCCAAAAGTTCAACTTCTGGGTCAAATGATAGTTGTATACTCAGTTTTTTAACAGACTGTCTAATGATTTTCCAGAATAGCTGTAACATTTGATAACCCCACATGAACTGTATGTGATCCACTGTCTTCACGTCACTGCCAGCATTTGTGCTGTCATCACTTTTCATTGTAGCCATTCCGCTATATGTGTAGTGATATTTCACTGTATTTTCATTTGCATTTCCAGATAACTAATGATGTTGAATAACGTTTCATATGCTTATTTTCTATCTGTATGTCTTCTCTGGCTAAATGTTTACTTTTTTTTGCCCATTTTCTAATTTGATTTCTTTTTTACTGTTGAGTATTGAGAGTTCTTACATATTCTAGATACAAATCTTTGTGGATATATGGTTTACAAATATTTTCTCCCAGTCTGTTTTTCCACCATATTCACATGTTCTTTCACAAAGCACAATTTTTAATTTTAATGATGCAATCTATCAATTTCACCCTTATATGCATTGTGCTTTTGGTGTCAAGTCTAAAAACTATTTTCCTACCCTAGATTCTGAATATTTTCTCCTGTTTTATTCTAAAAGTTTTACAGTTTTACATTATATATTTAAGTCCCTGGTCCACTTTGATTTAATATCTATATAAGGTGTGACATTTAGATTATGGTTCATTTTTTACCCATGGATGTCCACTGGTTCCAGCCTGTTTTTTGCTGAAAGGCTACCCATCCTCCATTTTAATTGCTTTTGCACTTTGTCAAAAGTCACTTGAGCATATTTGGGTGGGTCTACTTCCGGGTTCTCCTCTGACGTTTCATTATCTTTGCCTCTACTCTTCTTCTGCCCTATGTTAATTAATGTAGCAGGAAGATGCCTTAACATTAGGAGAGTGACTCTTTTCACTTTATTCTCCCTGTCAAGGTTGTTTATGCCATGTTAGGGCCTGTGCCTTGCCAAATTAGTTTCGGAAAAATCTTATTTTGTCTTTAAAACTAAAACAAACGAACGAAGAAAAAACCTTGCTGAGATTTTGATACATACACCTGTGTAAGAATTCAGTTACTGTTCAGGTTTCCTTATTAAGCTGGGAGATAATCTTTGGAATTTCTTGCTTCACCTCGCATGCATAAAGGATCATCTGACCTGGACTCCGAACGGTCCTACCCTCCCAATTTCCAGATACATGTCAAACACATACTTCTCCCAGGCTGAATTTGAAACTGGAGAACTAGGAGTTTAAACCTAAACGCAGTGAACACTGAAGGCCGCATCATCCTCTTTCCACTTTCTGTCCCAGGCTGCTGCTCTCCCATGTTCTACGGCTACTGACATCTATAACACTGAGCCAAAGCTGATTAGCATTATTTCTTTAAATACCCATAAAATGAATATCGATGCACTAATTTTAATTCCATGTTAAGATAAAAAATTACAACTATCCTATAACATAAAATCCACCATGGAAATATCCAAACATTACTTTATAAATAGGAATATGGTCAAATAAAAGAGAAATATGGGCTTCCCTGGTGCCTCAGTGCTTGGGAGTCTGCCTGCCGATGCAGGGGACGCGGGTTCGTGCCCCGGTCCGGGAGGATCCCACATGCCGCGGAGCGGCTGGGCCAGTGAGCCATGGCCTCTGGGCTTGCGTGTCCGGAGCCTGTGCTCCGCAACGGGAGAGGCCACAGCAGTGAGAGGCCCGCGTACCGCAAACATTACTTTATAAATAGGAATATGGTCAAATAAAAGAGAAATATGGGCTTCCCTGGTGCCTCAGTGCTTGGGAGTCTGCCTGCCGATGCAGGGGACGCGGGTTCGTGCCCCGGTCCGGGAGGATCCCACATGCCGCGGAGCGGCTGGGCCAGTGAGCCATGGCCTCTGGGCTTGCGTGTCCGGAGCCTGTGCTCCGCAACGGGAGAGGCCACAGCAGTGAGAGGCCCGCGTACCGCAAAAAAAAAAAAAAAGTAGAAGGACAGAGCCATTTGCTACCAGATCTCTGCTATTTCCTTATGATGATTATATCAACTGGGAAGAAAAAAACCTTTTATCACTACAAAAATCACAAAATTGGTTTGACAAATACCATGAATCTACTACTAAAAATTTATCATTTCCCAGTAGTTACTGGAAACTATGTTATTAAACTTCAGAATACTCAATGTTCTCCAGGGAAGTAAAATATATGAAAAAGTTTTATATGAAAATGAAAGTACAATTGGCAATATAAAAAACTAAATCAGGTAAGTGGTGCCACCCCTATTTTTTAGTATGCAGCAGTGCTTCCTTAAGGCTAGTGAAAACATTTTAGAAGTCTTCCCTTTAGCTCTGCTACCAAATCTTTAAATTTCAGAGTAGCACAGGATACCACACACATGCTCACATATATGTAGCACTGGTGTGTCATCCACAACGTGCTATCCACTGGACACTGAAATAACAAACAAACACAAAGAGGTGCAGCTCCACATCAAACGGAAACCTTTACCTGGATGTCTACAGAGGCCTATGTCGCTCACCAATCTTTCTTACTGATGGAGAAGACACCTGTGAGGCCAGAGAGACACTGAAGAGGAACACCCAGACACAGATGTAGATCTCTCTTTCACATCTACCTGTATGACCAATGAGATGGCCAAGAAGGGTGCACCTGTTACTCAGTAAAAATGGGAGGACTGAGGGAAAACAGGAAGGTGAGTGCACTGCTACATCAGACTAAACAGCAAAGGTAAGGGAAAAAAAGGGTAAATAGGAAAGTTGAGGAGGAGATAAGAGATGAAAGAATGAAAAGGCCAAACAGTACTCATTTGATTCACAAAGAGAGATTCTATCCTAACCTTCAACACAACACACACAAGACATCCTCCTAAAAGTCAAGAGGAAAACAAAAAGTGATGGGGCATCACTCTGGAGTCTAGGTCTCGGAGACTGTGAAACCCTTCTGCTGGCACTCACACTCTCTCTTTACCCCTCCTGCTGGCAGGCCGGTGGTGGGCTGCCCGGTGGAGAGGCCCATGTGTCCAGGAATGAGCGTGGCCTCAGGCCTAAAGCTCGTAGAACTGAGGCCCTGAGTCCAAAGAGGCACCAAGTCCTGTCAACAACCCCAAGAGTGAGACTGGCATCAGCTCCACCCCCGTGGAACTTGGAGGTGATGGCTACTGGGCTAATACCTTGACACAACTTGACTGAGAGCCTTAAGGGGGACCCAGAGCCAGGAGATGCAGCTAGGCTGCATCCAGATTCCTGACCTCAGAAACTTGAGAAAACAAAGGTTGCTGTTTCTTAAAAATTGCATCAAAATTTATATGACTAACATATGGCTCAGCCATCCCTCTTGTCAGCATTTATCCTATAGAGTCCTAAAAGGATGTATGTACCAGAATGTTCATTATAGCACTTCTCACAGCAGAAAAGAGAAACCATCCAAAATCTAACGATGGACCAAAAGTTAGTAACTTACAGTACCCATATAACTGAATACTACGTAAATAAGTTGCAAATCAGTATGTTTAATTTTCTCCTTTCCGTAAAATCCGACAAACACAGCCCGAAGCATTCTCTGTGTACAGATTTTTACTGCAATGAGGTGAAGACCGCTTTCCTCCTGAGGAGGAAGGCTCTCACTCAACCTCCCCACAGGCGGCTCAGGCTGGGTATGTTCCCATGGGTCCCCATGTGGCTATCAGCTGGTACCAGGGGCTCACACTCCTCTGTAAGAGGCCTTATGAAAACCTCTCATTCTATATTTTTTAAAATGTTGTTCTAGAGCCTTAGAAAAGGAAGAACAAAAAGACTATGCCCTCAGTCACTGTTACTCAGGAAGGCTGTGTGGGCAGAAACGCTTCTCCGCAAAGGCAGACAGCCCAGGCCTCCAGACTCCGGGCCAGTAGCGGCCTGCCAACAGCCACCTCTGACCACTGTGGGGTTTTTAAAACGGCTTCTTCCTACATGGACTTAAACTTTTTCTTTCTAATCCTCTTTTGTTTCCATTTACCTTTCCCTCGTTAAGTTGGTTTTTTTGTTTGTTTGTTTGGGTTTTTTTGCGGTACGCGGGCCTCTCACTGCTGTGGCCTCTCCCATTGCGGAGCACAGGCTCCGGACGCGCAGGCTCAG